GTGCTTCAGGTCTAGCCGGGACCACCGGCGCTGAGCCAACTGAGATTGGAGGAGCACTCCCCAGCCAAAAAGACTGGCATCCATAGTTAGGGTTAGCCAGGTGGGTTCCTTGAAAAGGGACCCTTTGGCTAATGCTGGGGAGATCCACCACTGGAGGGACTTTAAGGTCTGAGATGGAACCTGTACCCTTTGGGTGGAAGAGCTTGTGCCCAGTCTTTGATATGGGAGCCAGAACCATTGAAGGTGTCTGGAGTGTAGTTTGGCCCAAGGCACTATAGCAATGCAAGAGATAACATCTGCCAGCTTCTTCAGAACTCTGGGATGTAATCTGTCAGGTCCCAGTGATTTATATTCATCAAGGTCAGATAGGTGTTCTCTTACCATTTTCTTCCTTATTTTAATCTTATTTCTAGTTTGTCTTTTGCAGTGGTTTTTTTTTTTTTGGTATGTTGAACTATAATTTCTTTTTGTGTGAAGACTGATGCAAAGAATGAGTTAAGCAGCTCTGCTTTCTCCCTATTGCCTGTTATTTCCTTGCCATCTTCTCTCTTTAGTGGACCTACAGTTTCCTTGACTTTTTTCTTGTTATTAATATGTTGGAAAAAACTTTATTATCCTTGTTTTCTGTTGCAAGTCTTTGTTCGTTCTGAGCCTTTGCTTTCCTGACTTCATTTTTGCATGTTCTGCCTGTCTGCTGATAATTGGCCTTAGTTATGTGCCCCCCTTTCCATTTTTTGTATTTGTCCTTTTTGTCTTTCAGTTTATCAGAGAGATCTTTTTGCAGCCATGCTGGTTTCTTCTTCAATTTGTTTTTCTTGTTCAGTGGTATTGTGCTGGACTGTGCTTTTATGATCGCATTTTTCAGAGTTTACCATGCTTCTTGGGCTGTTTTCCCCTTTAAGATTTTCATCCATGGAATCTTTCCTAGGTTCTCTTTGAGTTTGTTAAAATCAGCTCTTCTGAAGTTTAAGACACTGGTTGGATTGTTTACTATTGCTAGTGTTTGCATTATATTCAGTTCCAGTATGACCTGGTCACTTTCACCCAAGGTTCTGACAACCTCAACTCCCTCTATCACTTCTTTTCTATTAGTGAGAATTAAGTCCAGTATAGCTTTCCATCTAGTTACTTTCTCCACCTTTTGGATGACAAAGTTGTCGGCTAGGTTGGTTAGGAATCAGTTTGATCTCCGGCTCACTGCAGAGTTTGTCTCCCAGTTGATAACCGAATAGTTGAAGTCTGCCACTACTACTGTGGTATGCTTCCTACATACATTTGTTAACTGGTTGGCAAAGAGTTCATCTATTTCTTCTGATCAGTTGGGTGGCCTGTAATATACACCTATGGCAATGTCACTTTTTTTCTCTTTTATATTGACCCATATACATTCTGGAGAGAATTTATCTTTGATCATGTGCATTTCTGTAGATATGTAGTGTTCTCTTACATATAGCGCAACTCCCCGTCTTTTTGTAGACCTGTTTCTTTTGAACAATTTGTATCCATCCATCGGTCCATTCCAGGATTTTGTAATGCCAACTATGTCATACCCACCTTTGTGTACTATTGCGTCTAGTTCACCGTTTGTTCCCCAAGCTTTGAGCATTTGTATATAAGCATTTAAAACTTTTATGCCTGCCCGTGGGTATGTTTCTGCATCTCCTGATGGTTGTTTTTCCTTTTTTCTCATCATTGCCTACCTCATTGTTTATTTTCTTGAGATTTATGATTGGTTTTGGGTTCTAGAGATTCTAAAGATTGGTCATCCTTCCCCCTCAATTTTAGTTTAAAGCCCTCCTGATGAGTTGGGCCAGTTTTTCCAAGTACATTTTCCCCTGTTTTCATGAGGTGCAGCCCATCTCTTGCCAAGAGTCCTTTGTGTAGGAAATGCAATCCATGGTCCAGGAAACCAAAGTTTTCTTGGCGACACCAAGACACCTTTAGCCAATGGTTTATTTCTAGAATTCTTTTTTCCCTCAGTGGGGGTTGGCCTTTCTTTGGGAGTACTGATAAGAACACTACTTGTGCTCCTAGCTTAATAGTATTGCCTAGTTTATAATCTCTAAATATTGTACTCAGGTTCTTTGTTGTGTCATTCGTCCTAATGTGGAGGAGGAGGAAAGGATAGTAATCTGTGAACAGCGTTCACAGGTATGTATTTTACCATGTTTTCTTCATTTGGCTTGATAATGAATCTTGAAAACTCCAAAAGTTATTTGCAACAGTTAGATGGCCTAATACAGTATACCTTTCTGCTTTTCTATCCAGAATGCCAAAAAAAGCAGAATGGTTTATCTGTATATTAGGCCATCTAATTTTGTTTTATAAACCAAACTATTAATATTTAAGTGAGCATTGTGCCCCCTAAATCAGTGGTGGAAAAGCTTTTTGACTCTTTGTGTCAAAATTTGGAAAATGCCTAATTTAACTCTTTTGATGTGCCACACCTCCCCCCCAACAAAAGAAAAACAATTCTCTACCTCAATCCCCATCAAGCCCACTCTGAACATCAGCACTCTGTGGCAGCTCTGAGACTGGGCCTAAAGTAGAGACTCAGGCTTCAACTTCAGCCCTAATGCCAGACCAGCCACTCAAAAGGGCCACCTTGTGCCATTCCCAAGGTGCATGAGCTTAGGAAAATAGCATGATTGCCCAGCAGCCCTCAGGATCTGCCGTGTGCCGCTTACCTTTATGTGATGTTGTCTTTCTGTTGACATACCACTCTGGCCTACCCAAGGCTGCTCCTAGTCACACTAGCCCAGTGGTTCTCAACCTTCCTAATGCTGCGACCCTTTAATACAGTTCATGTTGTAGTGACCCCCAACCCTAAGGGCTCTCCAAGCGCGCACCAACGCTGCCCACTCACCCGCCACGCCCAGGGCTCAGTGTGCCTCACCTGTCCTCGCCTCACTTCCGAAGTCGCCGGCCTGCCTGGCTCCAGCTGGCCGGGGAGGGAGGGCAGGAAGGCCGCTCCGCCCAGCCTGGTTGGAGGAACACCCAGGCGGGGAGAGGGAGAGCCAAGAGGGTGACAGCGCCAGCAGAGCTTAGTTCAGCCTCCTCCACAGAAAGGGCCACAAAGCAGCGCAGCCTCCCTTAGGAGATGCTTGACGGAAACGAATCCAGTGCTGCAATGGCCCCCAGCTCGAAGCCGTGCGGAGACGGATAGAGAAGCGGTGTCTCGGTTCCTAAGACCATCGGAAATATGTTTTTTCTGATGGTCTTAGGCGACTCCTGTGAAAGGGTCGTTAGACCCCCCAAAGGGGTCATGACCCACAGGTTGAGAACCACTGCACTAGACCTTTGTTCTTGAAGCAGCTTCCCAGAATGCTCTTCTACAGCCTCCAAAATCAAGCAAAAGCTCATTCCGTTCTCATGCATCTTTGGAGTATGCGTGAAAGCACGACCCTCTTGCATAATGTCTGGAGGTAATGCAGAACATCTCATTCTTGTGCAGCCTCCAAAGTGTGCAAAAACGGGGCAAACTTTCAAGAATAGTTGGTTATTGATGAGCGTTGGCGTATCACCCAAAATGCCATGGCGTGTTACCCCCTTAACATCCATGTCATAAGGTTGCCATTGCTGGCCTAAATTATAAGAGATTTTACAGTGTTATTTGCAGATAATTATCTGATAATGTGTATCATTATCCTGAAGGGCAGGAGGAAGGGGAGGCAGAAGAACTGAACAGCAATAAGAATTGGGATTTGACAACAACCTGTTATTTTAACACTGGAGAACGCTTTGTTAAGAGTCGGGATGTAAAGTGCATAAAATGCCCTAGACCCGAAAATTTTTATGACAAGACCCAGAACAGAAGAGCTTGGTTGGGCGCCTTCCACCAACTGAAAATTGCACAGCTCTTCTCACCCACACGATGACAGCATACACAAGTCTTTCCATATGGTCCCTTCAAGAAAAGGCGGGAATAAACTGAGCAAGGAGATTCAAGGACAAATTGCAGACTGATGAAGGCATTCAGGCTGGACGGCAGGTGGCACCCTATGGATACAAATAATATTCCCCCGCCCCTACTTTCGAATACGCGCGTCCGGACGAATGGCGACCTCTCCGCACCCCCACTGATTTTCTTGGGGCAGTTTTTGCTGGGAGACCCTAAAAACGGGGGGGGGGCGGGGATCGGTTCTACTTCGGAGAGATGCCTGCCTCAAACTGATTAGGAACTATGAAGGACAGAGACGTTCCCCCCCCCCGCTTTGTAGACGCAGCTACATTTGCATCGCTGCTTGTTAGAGGGGGATGCTTCCTAAACTTGGCTAAAAAATAAATCTGGACGCGCATATTTTTGGCAGCTGAGATGTTACATAGCACACTTCCTCAACCATATTATTCTCCTTCCCCCCGCTTTAGAGTCCCAACATTTTTGCAAAGCTGGAGATGGGTTGCGGTTGTAGCTCCCATAGGAAACTACTGGGAGGTCTCGGACAAGTGTGCCTTCTCTCCTTTCTCGGCCTGTTTCCTCTTCTTCGGATCTAAGCGCCCTTGACCTGCCGCAGCGATTGCCCGGCCAGTACAACTCTGAGGCGCTTTTGAATACAATTTCCTCTTCCTCTCCCAGGACCTCTTCAAAATCGATCCATCGAAACAATAAAAATGAATGAAAAGCAGCCAAGGGGAACGTCCTGACTCCCCCCCTCCCAGTCTATCCTTCCCCATCTTGGACCACCCACCCTCAACCCGCGAGGGGAATCGGAGCCTGAAGCCCTGGCGAAGAAGCACACCAAATCCAGGCTTGGGGGGGAAAGGCAGCTTAGCCGCACAGCCGTGCAAGCCTCGTCCGGGGTGGCAGCGACGAAAAGGCGAGAGTTTGCGCCCTCCCTCTGCGTCTTCTCTCCACCCCCCCCCCTTTTCTTGAATGAAGAGCGAGGTGGGGCTAGAAGAAAGGCTGCCCCATTTGCCGAGCCTGAAGCGTTAGGCGCTCTCCTCCTCTGTCTCCTCCCCCAGTGTGCGGCTGCATTGACTATGCCTTCCCCCGCCGCCGAGACCTCCCCATCGGCAGCTGGAGCCTCCGCGCCGAACGCAGCACATCCAATCTGGAGCCGACGCTGGAGAAGGAGGAGGCGCCTCGTGACTAGGAAGCTTTACGAGGCTGCCCGGGGTACCAAGAGCACCGGGGAGGGAGGGTGGGGGGAGGGGGGATAATTAGGATCAATTAATACTTCAGACACCTCTTCTCTTTGCTTTTTGCCTTATACTTATTTGGCTTCTTCCCAACTATGGATGTGGGTCTATCTAGCTGTCTGTCTGTCTGCTGGAGTTAAAGCAGCGAAGAAGAGGGGAGGGGGGTTATAATTTCAGAGAATGATGGTGATTGGTGATGATGGTTTAGGTGTATTGAGTTCAGGATCCGTGTCTGAATGAAACTATGTTCTATGGCACTGGAACACCCTACTAATTCCAGAGCCTAAGCTGAAGATGCATTTCTCTGATGCTTTTCAGAATTTATTTTCCCCCCCTTCTGCCTCTGTTTTGGCTTGGTCTCCTTTCTGAAGTTCAGAACCAGGATTTGTGAGCTCTGACATATCTTTGGAAATGTCATCCAAACAGAAATCCAAGAAACATTTTTGGAAATCAGACTAATTCAACAGGAGCTAAAAGCCTCTTTTGCTTTTTTATTTTTCCCCCCCTTTTTAGGATCATCAAAAAATCCTTATATTTAATATTTTAAGAGACCTGTGAAGTTTTTTGTTTGCTTTTTCTTCTATAAGGACCTTTGAGAGGAAAGGACATTTCTAATTCCAGTAAGTATTTTCTACAGGGAATTTGCTTGGTGTTAACTTTTATTTATGAAAAAAAACAAGAGTTTTGTTAAACGTGCTTTACATGAATTTGCATTGGAAGCGGCTTTAATCTGTAAATCATTTTGAGGGGGGAGGGAGGAGAATTGAAATGTATGCACAGCATCTTCTTCCATATACTAGATCATCACCTAGAACGGAGGGGGAAAAAAGCACCCGATTTTGAAAAAGGATATTTGGTTTTCTTTTTTCTTTTTAGATGTATTTCAACCCAAAGGAAGGAAGAATTCTGAACATTAATTTTATAATAAATATTACATGTGGAATACAATATTGGCTTCATTTTGACTCTGGTCTCCATCCCCTATCATATACGAAAGAAGAGACGCTGGGAAGACAGAAATAGATTTAAGATTTAAGGACTTCACCTCCACCTCCACAAATGGAACTACACACAATAAAGGAACTGGATGCTATATAACACTGGCACTTGTTATTACTGGCTGCTTTAATTTTTGGGTGGGGAGGGGGACATTTTATCTTTCTTTTTATTCCCCTCCCAGCACTCTGTTGTAAATGATGGCTCATCCTGGGATAAGAGATTACAGTAACCGGGAGATAGTGCTGAGGTACATCCATTACAAGCTGTCACAGAAAGGATATGACTGGGTTGCCAGTGGAGACAGAGAAAATGTTTCTTCTGCTGTTGGGACCTTTCCTGCTCTTGGAGGGCTGGTGTCTCTGCCTTCTGCTGCTGTTAGTAACTTGGCTGCCACTGAAGTACATCCTGTACCCCAAGTTGTTTATTCCACGCTATGCCAAGCTGGTGATGAATTTTCACGGAGGTATCAGAGGGACTTTACCCAGATGTCTGGTCAACTGCACTTGACTCCAGTCACCGCCAGAAGTCATTTCATGGCTGTTGTGGAAGAGCTGTTCCGAGATGGAGTAAACTGGGGAAGGATTGTGGCATTCTTTGAATTTGGTGGCATGCTGTGTGTGGAAAGTGTCAGTCGGGAGATGTCACCTCTGGTGGACAGTATTGCTGAATGGATGACTGAGTACATGAACAGGCACCTGCACAACTGGATCCAGGACAATGGAGGCTGGGTACGTGGCTGGTTGTGTTCTTTGACTGTGTTTCCTTTTCAAGATATAGTAATCTCACTAGTTCAGGTTCACTTCACTGACATGTTTGCAGTAGAATCAAGTGTGGCTTGCATGACTAGTATTTTCTATTTGGGAATGTCATTGGTATTCATCTGTGAACAATGGTTTCAATCAATTCAGTTCTTGCAGATCAACAGCCTGTTACCATTGATTAGTTATTGAAATGTACCATAATATTGTTCTTCTGTTACCAGCAAGATCATTTCAGGATACAAAATACAGATCTTTTCACCATCTTGCTTACTTTGAATGAACATCAGTTGTCCTACCAAGGTCAAGGTAGAAAGTAAGGTGTTCCAGCAATATTGACCTGCAATTCCTTTTGGTTTCCTGATGGCTGTGTTGAGCTATGCTCTCTCTAGTCAGAGGGAGTATTCCCTATCTTGTTTTAATCAATACTTAGTCACTGATGTCATTCACTGGGTATTGTGAAAGTTGCTGGTAAATGAGATCACAAGTGAATCAGAAGAGAGAAAAGTTAGCAATGAAGCCGCTAATAATGGCATGTGCAGAGTATTTTTTTTTTAAATTTAGACTGAAAAAAGCAAACCCCCCCCCAATAACCCTGCCCTACTTCAACTGTTTATGACTTATTCTAAGTTTGGAGTCCTTATTGTGCGGATAAATGTTCTTTATAAGGGCCACCTTAAGCAGTTAAGCTTATATAAAACAGCTTATACAAGTAAAGAAATTTGGTAATGTGTCTGGGATAGCAAAGATGTAATAACATTTTAATATATTTTTAGTATGTTATTACTTGACTAACATTCAGGTGCATTTCCTTTAATAAGTTTTAGTTAGATTCAGTGCACAAGTAGAAAGTCTGCATGATAAAATGAATTATAGTAGAATCAAAATAGAATTAAAAACATAGGAAGAAAAGGGGTACAAAAGTGATTTTACTTGGATTTTATAATCAGATGTTTATAACAGGTCCCCAACCTTTTGGGCACCAGAGACCGGTTCCGTGGAGAGAGGTTTTTCTGCGGACTGGAAGGTGTGTGGTTTTGTGTGCTGCCTGCATCTCGTGGATGGGGCTTTGCTTGTTTGTGCAGATGGGTTGCTGGCAGGTCGCAGCCCGGTATTGGTCCATGGACTGGGGATTGGGGACCCCTAGTTTATAACACCCATTTCCTCCTCCGAAAAATGTAGGGAATCCCCCTTCCCCCCCCCCAAAATCTGAGTTAATAGTATATGTCATGCTTCTATTGTTATGGAAGAAATTGGAATGTTTGAAGAAATTAGAAGACAAGTTATAAATCAATAGAGAACAAAAATACCCAAGACATATTATTGAGTCAGTTGGATCTAGAAAGTGAAGCCTTTATATTACTCAAATCAATCATATGCTCATCACATGCTATATACATCGAATAACTGTCCATTTTGAAATTTCCTGGATTTTCATTTTGAGTCAACATAGCATCTTTTTTATATTACAGTTAATAATGTATGCATTATCTTTGTTTATACAAGGCATATAACATGACAGGACTAGCAGCCTAATCCTATACCTAATGTTGCCTGCATTGTTTAGGAGAGAATAAATAGACACATACCTTCATGCAGCTTTGCTACCCATAACCAGATGCATGTCATGTACTTTTAGTTGGAAAACTCTACTGCAAATATTAAATATAGTAATTGAACTTCGAGAACTTGCACACATACCAAACCTAAAATTGGAGCCATACAGTACTTGAAAGAACATAACAAAAACAAGCTGAGAATTAAATACCAAATCAAATCCAAATATCCTTATTGCTCAAGAAAAGGCAAGGAGATAAACAGGACAATGTAAACCCTCCTGAAAGATCATTCTTCTGGTAGTAGATTCTATTGCAGAAGACTCTCTTACCCATGTTCCAACCAGTTTAACATCTCATAGTCATTTGTTAATGAATAATCAATCTATATTTTTTTTCTAGCCAGTCCTTCAATAGTTCCATACTCCTAGACATGAGTTGAAAATATATAGAGCCAGGTGTCATCCTCATGTGATGAGACAAACCATCAAATTACCTCTCAGAATGGTTTCATGTAGAGGTTTAAAACATACCACAGAAACCAATGGCCAGATATGAGTTACAGTGTCTCAGCAGTATCAGAAACAAGTGAACTTAATGCAGAGCAATTCCCCAAGGTTCTAATCCAGGTAACTGCCTTAGAAGGAAACCAGATTAACAGTATTGAATATCATCAAAAGGACCAGCATAATAAACACAGAGTATAGGACTAGCAATAGCACTTAGACTTACATACTGCTTCACAATGCTTTACAGCCTTCTCTAAGCGGTTTACAGAGTCAGCATCTTGCCCCCAACAATCTGGCTCCTCCTTTTACCGACCTCGGAAGGATGAAGGGCGGAGTCAATCTTGAGCCGGTGAGGACTGAACCCCTGGCAGTCAGCAGAATTAGCCTGCAATACTGCATTCTAACCAGTCCGCCACCACGGCTCATCATTTATCCTAAACTTTTTTTTTCCAAATTAGAAAGAAGTACATAGTTGTACAGTTACTATTTCCTTTAGATCTTCCTAAAAATGCAAAATGTGACTAATTATTATCCAAACAAATTTAACATAGGCTTTAGCAGCACTCTTTTATTAAAGTGAGAATGGCCTCCTTCAAGAATCACCCACAATGTCCATTAACACAGTTAGTCAAGTAATTATTGGCAACTTCATTTATTTGCTTGTATGTTAGATTTATTTTTCCACCTTTCATCTTGAAGTTCAAGATAGAGTACGTGGTGCTCTCATCTCCAATTTTTTCCTTACATCAGTCTGTGACCAGATTAGACCAAGGCTGGCCCAACATTATCCAATGAATATTCATGTCTGATATTAATTTTGAACTTGGGTTTTCCTAGTTCTAATCCAGCACTATATCCATTACACTATGCCATACATTAACAGGCCAGATAGGGAAGATCCAAGCGAGAAATTGGCCACTCCAGCCCATTTAACCACATTCTAAAGCAGCAAAATTCTCCATCAGTTATAAAAATTGCACGACCAGGTACCATCTCAAAATCTATCCTTTGCTTTGAGAAAGCATGAGCAATTTAACTTTCAAAGTATAGCACAAACATTTGACATTGAACTGCTGAAGATTCACCTGTAGTCTATGCAGGGTTCAGAATGCAAGAAATGGTTCACTTGGCGGGATGACATTGTGCTGAAGCAATAGGCTGAGAGAAAAATAAATCTTTTGCTGCTTCTACTGCTATGGCATAAGCTTCAACAAGAGCTTATTCATGTGTGTCAAATTTGTCCTTAATCTTTACCAGTCCACTTCTTAATTGTTTCCCCAACTCTTTCATTTCTTCACCATCTGTCAGAAAGAAATAATCGTTTGAAGTGACTATACAGTCACTTATATAGTCTACCTAATAATTGTGCAATGATGCCATGTTGCACATGTCATCATTTTGACAGCATTGTTACAGATCCTATACTAAAATACCATTTTCAGGTTGACACATTTATCTCTTAGTCATCAAATGCATTGCAATCCATCTGATGGCCATATCATGAAAGATATGGGAATATTTTGAATTAACACATGTGTTATGTTTCAGAATTGGCTTCCTTTAAATTAAATTAACAAAAGTTCTCTACCTGGCATGTCTTAACTTTAACTTTGGAAATACTTTTCTCCTAGAGAACAGCTTTTTTTTTTCTGCCTCAGAACTAGCTGTTATCATCAGATGAAACAAAAACGCATGACTTGCTTTCTGGGTGGCACAAGAGAGCACAAATTATTTGCATGTCAATTCAAAATGTCACAGTATTAATTTTGCAAAAAGCCATTAATAGCAGTAGAAACTGAGTATTTACTATCTTGCTTCAAAGCTGCTAATAAGTAGGTTTTTGTGCATTGGGTAAAATAAATGTTTTCCAGTTGTATCATTTGATGTTAATTTGTAGCGTCTGTGATTTCCCCCTTTTGCTCACTCCCTTTTCTAGAGAATTACTTTTTCTAGAAGTGATGAAAGCTGATCAGCCATTTATATATTAGAAATTTGACTTTGGTAGATACAGAGTGTGATTAACATCGAGTTTATATTTTTCTTGGAAGAATCATCGTTTGACAAGTCAAGTGTGGAGATACTAGATAGATTGCATATTAAGAATGCTTGGTTATAGCCTAGCATATGGCTCTTTTTTGTAGTGTTCAGATGTGCCAAAAAGATTAAACTTTAGATTCTGCGTTAGCAGCCCATCAGAGAAATCTTGTTTTTGCTTCCATTACATAGCCTTTTAAATGTTTCCTAACTGGAGGATGTTCATCTAATAATACACACTAGAGCTTTACTTTGGAAAGTCTTAGAGTGCCCTTCCTGGCTTTGCTGAGTACAGGGGACTTAATTGCTCATTAAACATTTATTGAATAAAGCTATTAATTGGTTCTTCTTATGAGTTTACCATATCTGCTATTTTCAATGTCCACATGCATGCCGTTATGTATGGAGTCAAAATGCATCACTTATACACAAGAGGGAGGTATTGGCAGAGTTCAAGAAATTTGAAGGCTTATAGAATTAAAGAAGTCATTAGGAAAAAAATTCTCTTCTGCAGTAATTATTATCATTATTAGGAGGGAAGGAAAACTTAAAAAAAAAGTTCTTGTTCACCATAGAATTCTGATGGTTTGTTGAAAGGAAACAAGAGAAAATCAGAAGGGATAGGCCAAGAATAGGGATGGGGACATGCCAGAATCTCAACAAAGAAGCACTTCACATTTCAACAGTTTCTTATGTAACCAGAATAATATAATCTATGCCCCAAAGCAAGTGTTTCTCAACCCTGGGACTTGAAAATATATGGGCAAAAAACTCCCAGAGTTCTCCAGCCAGCATGGGAGTTGAAATCCATACATTTAAAGGTCCCAGGGTTGAGAAACATTGCCCAAGAGAGGGAAGTTTGAGGAATCCT